CAGGTTTATCTTCACTATTAATTATTATTTTTGTAGAAAATCAGGCTGACATAACCATTACATGTATCACAATGGCAACCTTTATTAAAAAAATCATGTACTGTTTCTTTTCTTAAGTCCAATAGATCTGGTTTCCGGAACACAGACAGTAATAAACACCTGGGTGAGGGAGGGGAGATACTCAGATTTTAAGTGGTGGGGCGGGGATGATAGAATATTCTGGGATCTTTTTGGATAGGAAAATTTGGCAAGCATTTTTTGGGGGCTTGATAAACAATCTGAAGGTTTGTGGTAGTACCCACAAATCGTGGCTGCAAACACATACATTAAATAATCAGTTTCTGGTTTATTTTTCTTGTTAAATCAATTAATATTGTTCTTTCTGAAAATTTAAGGCCCGGAAATTCAGCATGGGATTTTTTGGGTTTTGTTGGAAGGCCTAGGGGTTTTTGGGGGGTCTTGATTTTTGCCTCCTTTCGATCATCCCCGACTTGAAATTAGGAGTACCCTCCCCCTGGGAATGAACACTCCGTCTCCCTCCCAAATTATTTTCCTTTCCCTCCCCTTTCAAACGTAGCCTGAGAAAACAGACGAGATTTCACCACGCCAGCAACGGTTTCTCCGTGAAATGTCGTCTGAGAAAGGAGCGTAGAAATGCGTGCCACTTGGGAAATTTGCTTCAACCAATCTGAAGCACTATCCAGACCTGGGTAGGGATGCCTCATCAGTATGGAATTTCTGGGCTCGTTTCTCAGACGTCATTCGGCGGGGAAACCGTCGGTGGCGGCGCGAAATGTCGGCTGTTTTCCTTACATGTCCTTAGGCTATTCGAACGCAATCCAGAGGGGCTCTTCACTCCCCTCACCCCCGCCCCATATCCACCAGCATTGGAAAACGAGAAGACCCTGGGGACGAGATTGGACTGGTACAAAGACTAGTACAAAGACAACGTAACCTTATTTTTTAACCTTAGTCTATAAAAAGGCTTTCTTTTCTTGATTTTCCTTTTTATACAAGAAAGGATATCTAGGATGGCAGCTTCAGCTAGAAAGAGACGAAGAGGAAGTAAATATTCCGATGATCCGATAAGAAAAGTACGGGAAGTTATTTCAAATGGAGATGCTGTCTTACTAAACAAAGTTCTCCAGGAGATGAGCAGCATCGAACGAGCTTGTGTGTTAAAAGCAACAAACGTTAATTCACGTTTTCTTGGTTATGCTAGTGGTGACACTGTCCTGCATTATGCAGTTCGCCTCAATCGCTGTTCCTGTGATGTTTTGAACTGTTTGATTGAAAATGGAGCGGATGTGAACGTACGTACAGAGTATAGCAAATGCACACCATTGATGATAGCCACTCATATTAAAAATCTGAATGCAGTAGAATTTCTTCTAAAACACGGAGCTATTGTTGATCTTCGAGACAAGCTTAACAAATCAAGTCTCCATTATGGAGTTGAAAGCTTAAGAGCATCACACAGCAGTGATACTTCATTTGATGATGTTGTGAATTGTTTGTTAAATCATGGAGCTGACATAAATGCCCCTATGAATGGCAAATATACTCTTTTAATGTCGGCAAGTAGCTTTCATCAAGTCGAGCTAGTTAACTTTTTACTTGAACAAGGGGCAAACGTTCTCCTGAAGGACGAAGATGGTAACACAGCTCTGCACTTTGCCTGTGGAATTTGGAGTTCCGCATCTTGTGCATGTGATGTTTTGAATTGTTTAACTGAGAATGGAGCTGACATTAACGCTATTAGAAATGACAACTCTACACCCCTTATGTTAGCTAGTAGCGGTGGTTATGTTGATCAAGTAACGTTTCTCATAAAGCATGGTGCTAATGTCCATCTTCAAGACAAAAATGGCGATACAGCGCTACACCATGCTGCTCCTAATATGAACAACTGGTTAGAAATTGTTTGTGCTTTGACTGCGGCCGGAGCATCTCACATGTGTAACAATCAAGGACTAACCCCCCTTCTTGTAGCGAGCAGTATTGGCAATATTGCAGCAGTCGAGGAATTACTCAAGAACCAAGAGGTAACTAAAGGGCAAAGAATTGATGCTCTAGAACTTCTTGGTGCTACTATATTTACTAGACCCAGTTGGGATGTTTATGACATTTTAAGTGAAGGATTTTCATACCTAATGCGTGGCATGGAAGAAAGGTTTGCTGATCCTTTGCACCCATTGTTAAAACAACCAATGAAACCCATTGATGCTTATCAAAATAGACAAGAGAGTCAATCGCTTGAGGAACTTGTAGAAATAGGTGAATCTAGGAATGCTCTAACAATGGAAAGCCTTATTATTATAGAGCGAGTCCTTGGAGAAAACAATTCTGAACTGCTTAATCACATAAGAAGTGCTGCTCGATACTTTGAACACAATGATCATTCTACTTGCATAGGACTTTACAAACATGCATTTAAAACAGCCCAGATCTGCAATCAGTCAGCTGTAGAAGATATATATAGTCTATCACAGAATTTGCTTAAGATATGTTATGAAAATAAGTTATTGAGTGATCAACAAAACCAGGCATATGTAGTTGAATTACTTGAGGCAATTATTTATGAGTATGAAAGAATCAGCATCTTGTCTAAAAAAAAGAAAAAAGGCAAGATTTTTCAAGCAGATCTAAATACCTTGTTTATGTGTTCAGTTGAGGCTGTTTCACTTATTTCCAGTGGTCATCATTTTGAAGTAGACAAGGCCTCAACTGTGTCAGTGTTTACAAGACGGCTTTGTGCCTTAAATCCTCGAGATCATCAGGGACGTTCACTGTTACATGAGGCCATTGAAAGATGCCAGCAAAACTCACTTTTATTAGTGAAGAATCTTTTACATGGTGGACTTAATGTAAATGCCACAGATCACCAGGGAAACACTCCACTTCATGTTGCCATCCTTTCAAATCCTTGCCATGATATGACCTATCTTGTCACTAACCTGTGTGAGATCTTGTTAAATGAAGGTGCTCATCAAGATTTTGTCAACCATGATGGTAAAACAGCCATGGACTTGGCTAAAACTGATGAGGTTCGAAGTTTCCTTCAGGAGAAAAGAAAACTGGAATTGAAGTGCATCAGTGCCAGGGCTGTGAAGAGGTTTGAACTTCCTTATTTGGGGGTGGTGCCCAAAATATTGGAAAAATTTATAAGTATGCATTAGAAGTCATAAGTAACTAAAATTCAACTGGATAATGGAAGTTGGAAGCATATGAGGGATAAACTGTTGGACTAAGAAAATAGTTAAACAAAAATTTTTGGTTGCCGGTGATTTTTAGATAGGGAATCAAAATGTTTATTACCTTTTTCTCTATTTAATTTTAGAGCGAAGAAAAGTATTTTAATTGACTGGCACATTACTACAGTGTAACTTTATGACCGGTCTTTCACTATTACTTTTAAGTAACAACTTGAAAGTTGTAATATATTCAAAAAGTGAAAAAACCTTCAAGTCCCAAGAGTGACTAAAATCTATTTTCTCCTAACAATATCCATACATAATCAAAAGGTTAGGTTATGAGAATAAAAAAAATGATCAGACGGGAAAATATTTTGATCTTTCAACAAATTCTCTCAGACTGTCCAACCTTTTGAGGATGTAAACTCGGGATGTTTTTGAATCGCTTCAAAATCATTCTTGTTCCAAAGGTGTGAGTCACTAGGGATTTCTGGGGGCATTCTTCCCCAGAAAAAAATGAAATCTTGATGCTCAGAAAATGCCATTACTAGCATTCTGACAGGACAATATTTTCTTTCTGTCTAAAATGTTGTTGCTGTAACAACTGTTTATCTTAGTTATATAGTATTCTGATGAAAAAAAATTGAAGCTATTTAATTTCTCTTCTCTTCTGTTTCATGGGATATGACTAATCAAATGTATGTATGTTTATGATAAAATCACATTTTATTTATTCATTACATGCATAATAATATTTTTATTGTATTGAGTTCATTTATCAGGATCAATTTTAACAGTATCAATATGAAAAGGATTGGCGATGATTTATTATTTAAAAGGAACATGGTTTTCAAGTAGATAACTTTAACTGGCTTAAGTTGCTCTAGTTGTCAATTGCTTGCTAGCAATAAAGTTTTCTTTTTTAATTATAACCATCTCAGTACATCACCGCCTTCTCCTACTCCTTACCCCTCACTCTTAACTCCACTCCTCACCCCTGTTATAAAATGAAAGAAAACAGACTTTGTGTACTTGTCTGATTAAGTACAATTTTTCAATGCTTTGGTGTGGCACTTATTTGATATTGTAAGAAAACAACAAACAGTTTGTGACACCACTACTGGTTTCCCTTCAAACTGATGCCTTGTGTAACTAGCACAGAAATTCCATACTGAAGATGCATCACCACCCAGATTAGGTGACGACATGTCGTCAGTATTAAATTTCTGGGCTCGTTCTTCAGATGTTATTTCGCAGGGAAAGCAGTCGCATCATGAAATAATGTGGACTGTTTTTTCAGACAGGTGTAGAGCTTAGTCCAGGGTGGCATTAAATGTAACAAATAGCCTCTGCTGTCCCCCACTGGTTATTGCTAAAGCTAATAATTTAGTACCCTGCGAATAAAGTTGTCTCTCCTTGCTCCTTGGCGCTCGCCCTCCCTCCCCCACTCCCCTTTATCTCAAGGTCTAGATCCGGGACTTTCCTGTGCAGCAACAGCTTACTCGACGCCAAATTAAGTGACAAGGATTTGATAAAACGGTTAAAATGCTCATAAATAGTCATTCGAGTGTACATACCTCAAAAAGAAAAACAATTGCTGAATGACGTTCAAAAGGGCAGGGAACAACAAGAAAAGAAGACACAGAATCTCTTTTAAATATGAGGTCCACTGTGACTCTGGGTTGCCTGTGATCGAAAGGGCGTGGAAATGAACGCCTTTCTCACAAACGAGAGAGAATGGGTTAAAGTAATGATCAAAATGGCGTACGAAGAGCTGTGATTAGAGTAGAACTTTCTTTAAAAGCGATGGCCTTTTCACTTCGATATGTGGCGGATCAACTTTTTTCTGAAGTTAGATTTGCAAAAGAACAACATGGTCATCGTAAGTGTTGTTGGACCACGTCATTTTAAAAAACTTAATACCATGGTCTCTGCTTCTCCGTTTTTACGTAAACTTACTTATGAAGTTTTCTGGCTCTTCCCCTTCAGTGACAGATGAGCTACTATCTGCGTAAGTATTAACCCTTATTTATCACTCAGGAAAGTGAGTAGTCAGGAGGTTTCGGGTGGTAATATGCGACGTATAGCGAGGTATGCGAGGCAGCCGGGTTTTGCATTCAAACAACATACACCAGTCTAGTACTGATAGTAGTTGATAGACCGAGTGAAAGAAAAAGCAACGTGCAGTTTTCTAAATTTAGTCTATAAAGACCCCTTGATGCCATAGAGCCCCATTTATTTGTTACGCATGCTGCAATTTCATACTTTTCCACACCAATAGTTAGCCTGATATTGCAGTCACAATTTTGTGACTCTCATTTCTCAGATGCAATTTTGTAGTGAAACCAGTTGTTGTTAGCCTGAGATTGCAGGCAACATTTTGTGACACCACCACTGGTTTCTCGGCAAAATGATGTCTGCGACACGAGTGCAGAAATTCCATACTGATGAACCGTCACTCCCCAAGTCTGAGTGGTGCTTCTGATGGGCTGAAAATTTGCTTCAGCCATAATCAGAAACAACAGAAGCACTACCCAGATCTGGGTAGTGATACATCATCAGTATGGAATTTCTGCACTCATTTCTGAAGCGTCATTTTGCGGGGAAACCTGTTGTGGAATCATGAGATGTTGTTGTTTTCTTAGGGGTAACAAATGGTTAATTTGAGTAGAGTCAAAACTTCAATGCTAGTAAGCTGTGTAAGGAAATCTTGCCCTCTACTTTATTCATTATTATTCTAAACCATTTTTATTGAATTCTTTGTTAGGTTGCAATGTGTTTTCCATCAGCCATTGCTATATGCTTTAGACCTGGTAGATCAAAGGAACATCACCAGGCTAACTACACCTAGTGGAAGAATACTCCATCAGGTAGATACACTGTAGCTTTCATT